ATTTCTGAGTATGAAAATAAAGCGGGTTTTGTGCGTTTTTGAGCACATTCATACGTTTTATACATTGTATGTACTGGTTTTTCTTTAGTTTTGTAGGTATGAGTGTGTGTGTGTGTGTTTCGGGATGGCTGTATCTCTGTATGTACACACGCTGTATGCTCGCTGTGCTCAGCAGGGCACTGGGCACTAACTGCTCCTGGGGTGATGCTTCTCTCCAGCTGGCTGCACTCTGTAGGGCAGGGTGCGAAGTCTGTGCTACTGCAATCTGTTCCTGAAAACACTTTGTTAGCAATGCAAACTGGAAAGCTTCTAATTCCTTTTGAAGCCGGATCCTCCGTAGTATCCTAGCGCAATAACAAAGGACCTTTGGGCTTGGTTTAGGCTCTGAAGCTGTGTTTTGTGGTGGAGGTGAACAGATACCTTACCTCACACATCTCAACACTGCGGGAATATGTTCTGTGTTTGGTTTTTTTTTTATTTTACTTTTTATTCTGTGGTGAATTTATTTGAAATAAACTCTGGTACAATCCGTGATGTCATGGCGGCTCCTGGCTGTAGTTGTTCCAAACGTGGGTCTGCTTTGCAGGAGCTCCAATGTAATGTACTGCCCATAGTTCTGAGCCTTTCCCACTTCTCTTTTGGCACAGAGGCTGCTGCTTCCTCTCTTTTTTCCCTATCCTTCACCTCAACTGCAAGCAAGGGATATCTCGCCTCTAATGGAGCAGCTCACTGAGTCCAGCCCTTGTTTACCTCTCGGTGAGCTAATGCTGCAATAATGTCATTTTTTGCCCATTTAAATGTAGCTTTTTTCACAACAGGTAGGAGCCTCTGCAGCAGGGATGGCGCAGCTTCCAGGACCTTGCAGCAGCTGGGAAGGTCCTTCCCTGGCGGCAGCGGCTCCCAGGCAGAGCTCCATTGCCCTTGGTAAGGGCTGAGCACGTATCAGTGAGCATGCCTGAAGGAGGACCTTGCTCTTCTGCTTGCCATTAGATTGATGAGATCTTTGGCTTTAGTTTATGCTTCGATTTCCCACTGCTGCTCACTTCTCTGATGGTTTTTATCTCCTGGTGCATCCCAGATCTCCCTGCAGATAAGGTTCCATTCCCCTATCAGCTTATGATGAGCAAAGGGCCCATCTCTCTGCGTGTCCCTGGCTGCCATCAGCTCTGCCGGGTGCCAGAGCTCCGTGTGGGGCTCTGTGTCCTATTGTGGCCCCTGACAAAGCCATTCCTCAGCATCCCCTCATGCTGCAGACCGTGCTGCCATACTGAGCTCTTCACTGCTCCATGGTGGGCACAGCTGTGGTGGTGTCTGCATTACCATGATGCACAGCCTCTGTTTTTGCACTAGGTGAGCTGTGGGATGCTGTAGCTTCAGGGAGGTTCTGCTACGAGGGCAAAACTGCTGGTCAGATGTACAAAGCTTTGTGTGATGTTCAGCTGTGTCTCACTCTGAGCCTCAGATGATTCCTGTGTCTGTGCTGGGATGCGGATGGAGAGGCGAAACGGAGTGGGTGCAGGGCCTCTCTGAAGTCCTCACCTCCAGATGTGCTCCCCATTCCTGTGGCCCATCCACGTGTCTTTGCTGTTCCATTTGGGAGAAATGTTTTTTGTCAGCGGCGCCCAACCTTTGCCCATCTCATGTTAAGTGGCACTGAAGCTGTTTTTCAGAATGCTTTTGTCTTTCAGAGGTGGCTTTTCAGTGGCAAAAAACTGAGGGTTTCGTGTTGTGCGATTCATGCTACATCTCTTCATTTTGCAGTTGTTGAAAAGTTCCTTTTTTCCCCTTTAGCTAAAGAACATTTAAATATACCAAAATTGCTTTCAAACATCCCTCTCATGTTGGGATCTGGACCATGAAATGCGAGCAGAACAGGGGAGGGAAGGCAAATCCATCAGCATTCCTGTTCAGAACTCAGGGCGGTCTGAAAAGCACTGCTTGGAGGTTTCTCCTGTGCCAGTGGTTGGGACTGGATGGAGCTGTGGCTGCATACAGAAGATTCTGATATTCTGTGAAAATATGGTGCAGAACTGAAATTGGGTGCTACGACGATTGGTTCCTGTGAGGATCTTCTCGCTGCTTTTAACTCCTATCTTGGCACTAAGGGTTGGCACTAAGCTCTCTTTTTCTCAAGATGCTGTGAGAAACATTTCATCCCCACGCCAAATAAATGGTTCTGTAAGACGAAGGTGCTGTGTCGGCATCTGTTTGTTTGTTTTTTTGGGGGTTTTTTTCTTGGCATCGATGCATTTCTTCGGCATCGCGATGGGAAATCCCGTCCAGCAGCGATTCGGGGCAGCAGGGGGCAGAAGCGGAGCGCGGAGCTGCGGCAGCCCGAGCCCGGCTCGTTGGGGCCGGCGGACACGGGAGCTGTGGGTGCCCGTCCCCGGCGGTGCCCCGTGTCTATGGGGCTGGGCAGCCCGTGCTGGTGGGGTTATCCAGCCCACGGTGGGCTTTAGGGATCTGTCAGGTCCCCTCCAGCGCAAGGCGTGCTACGATTCTACAAAACGATGCTCTGTAGGCTGCTGTGCTGGTTTAGCAGTGTGAGTGAACATCTCTAGGTCGGGTTTCCGTGCTCTCCCATGTGCTGCCGGCACCGGTCCTTGGGATCAGAGTTGCTGTGCGTGTCCCTGTGCTGGTGCCATCCCTGTGCCCTCTGCACCAGGGTTCCTGCCTTCTGCTGCTGGGATCCAGCTCTGATCACAAACACCGGGGTTCTGCGTGGGGTCACAAACCTGCTTTACCTGGGGAGGTAAGGAGAATTTACAGCCATAGCCCAGGGCTGAGCTCAGAGCCAGGAAAGGAGCGGGGGCTGCTGGCGAGAGGCCGGCTGGCCTGGCTGCGGCCGGGGCTGAGCTCATGCTGTCCAGCTGCCCAGTGAGCAGCAGGAGTGCAGCCTGAGCTCTGCGGGTGGCTGCAAGATGCGCTCATCACTGAATGCTGTCCAGCACACGACGTCACCGTCACCACGGTGCCACCCGGCTCCTTGGCCCCTGCCCATGGGGCACAGCAAGGAGCTCACAGAGTTCCTCCAGCGCCTGGAGTTGTGCGCTGCTGCACTACAGGGCAATAGGAAGTAAGTACCACACAATGCCCGTGTCACAGGTAGACAGAGGTCTCTGGGAGGCCGCAGGGCCCTGCGTGGCTCCTCTCGGTGCCCTGGCACAGCCACTATGCTGCACCCTCTGGCTGTGCCCACGCCTGTGGATGTCAGTGTCTGGGTGCTGCAGCAGGAGCTCCTGCCAGCCCAAAGTGCATCACTCAGGGCCACGCTCTGCTCCCGACACTGGCAGTCGCCCTCCGGGTGCCGGGCAGTGCCAGGGCCACATGCAGCTGCTGCCCACAGTGCTGTCTTTGTGTGGGCACTGCTGTGCTCCTGTCCGGACACTCTGGCTGCACCAGAAACAAACAAAGCTAGGACTGCCCAGGGTTTACTCTGCTTGGGCTCCATCTCCCCACTTTTTGCATGCCTACAGCCCTCATGCACCCATCCCTGGGTGAGCTGAGCTGTGCAGCTCCTCTCCCCCTTCTCCAGTCTCATCCCAGTCCCCCAGGTCCTCAGGCTGTGTTCTCAGCTGAGGATTCACCTCCAGGAACAGCTCCTGGCACTGCTGTGCACAGCGGGGGCTCCCAGCAGGGAGGCACAGTGCCCACGTTGGATCGATGGATGCTGCAGCAGTAACTATTTATATTTTTCAGCAAGCCTTTTTTTACCCCTGTAATGGCTCCTGCACCCGTGCGTACGGCTGTGGGAGCTCCCTGTCCTGCGCAGCACGACGATGGACACAGCCCCTCTGAGAGGATGGTGCAGCCGTGAGCGTGCAGCAGCAGCAGCAATGGCAGCAGCAGGCTGGGAAGCACAGCGCGGTTCCTTGAAGGTTTGTTCTGGTTCCTATAGAAACTGGAGGCTGCTCCCAGTAGGAGGGCAGCAGGGATGGGTGGCAGTGGGTGTCCGGCAGGGCAGGGAGATGTTGGGGTTCTGCTTGGAGCATGAACCGTGGGTGCTGAATGTGCCCCAAAGAGCCCCCTGGCCAGCCCAGCCCTGTGCATGCAGCACACGGTAGCAGTGCTGAGCCACAGTGCCGTGGCCAAGCTGCCAGCAGAATGCCCACTGTGCCCTGTGTGGTGCCGGGCTTTGCTCATCCTGGCAGCATCTCCGAGTGCTGAGCCAGGTCAGTACCTGCGGGAGGAGAGGAGGAACGTGCCCCGTGGCCTCCTTTTTTCTGCTGCTTTCAGGCAAGCGGGATATTTTAGGATGATGTGACAACGCCACCATCCCGCGCACTCACCCCCTTCCTACCTCCCCTCTGCAGGAGGAGAACTTTTCCATTGGGATAACGGCTGCCCTGCACCACGCATCTGGGCTGTGCTGGGGGTATAGGTGCTGGGCTGGAATGCAGCAGTTCCCCAAACCCACCCTGGCTGAAGGATTGTGGGGTTAAGGGGGTTCTACCTGTGGGTTCCCGTGGCACTGCTCACTCCCAGCTCCTTCCCTGAGCTCCAGATCTGGGGGTGCCAGAGCTGTGCCAGAACCAAAGATGTCATACGTGGATCCCCATTGGCCCTGCAGGAGCCTTCCATGGCCCCACACAGGGCTGGCAGCACAGTGGGGATGCCGCAACCCATACCTTTAGGGATGGAGAGTAGCAGCTCACTGCAGCCCTCATTGCCACCCCCTCGGCCCCACAAAGCTCAGTGCAGCCCTGAGGAGCTCAGAGCAGCCCCATGGTGCCGGGAACTCCCACTGCTGCCTGCTGCCCACACGTGCCAGTCCGACCTGGCACAGCACACTGGGGCTGGCTGGGGGCCGGGCGCTCCCGCTCCCTCCTAGCAGGCGAGGAGTTAAAAACTCAGCCCTTGTGATGAATATTTAAAAGCAGTGTTCAAGCTGGAGCCGAGGATTTCTCCAGGGCTGGCAGCGCTGCATCCCTCTCCCCAGCCCTGCCGCCCGCCCGGGCGCACTGCGGAGGAGGACGGGGCGTTGCAGTGGGGCTGCCAGCATGGGGCCGCTGGGGCTGGGGGTAACTTTTGTCACTTTGCCTCTTGTCATCCGAGCGGCTGCGGGAGGTGAGATGCGCTGCCTGTCTGCTGCATCGTCGTGGCTGGGGCTGCGGAGGGATGGGCACGGGGTGCAGGTGGCTGGAGGTGATGGGGTGGCATGGTGCCGGGCAGGGGGTACAGCAGTGCCAGCCAGCCATTCTCTTTCCTGCATGTGGGGGGAATGCATGTCTGTGGTGCTTGGGGTTTGGAGATGTGGTGCAGCCCAGGAGCTGTGTTCTGTGCCCTCCTCATGGGACATCCCTGTCCCTGCGGTGCCGCTGGGCTCAGGGAAGTGTCAGCCCTGCTGGGAGGCATCTGGGATGTCAGATGGTCATTCAGACAGCTGGGATTGAGGTTTCAGCCCCTGTGCCCCATGTACTCATAACCAGGGAAACGCCACTCCTCAGAGCAAGTGGGGCTGGGGTGTGCAGCACTCTGCTATAGAGCAGAGCGCCCACCTGGCTCGTGCCAGGGATGCTCACAGTTGGGTGAAGGCAGCGCTTTGTGGCTCTGAGGGTGTGCAAGAGGCTCAGTTCCCACTGGATGGGAAGAAAAGCCTGAAGTCACTGCCCTGGGACAGTCCCCATTCCCAGCCCTGTGTCTGCAGCCTCACATAGCAGCGCAGTGAGGAGCTGCATGCGAAGCCAGCAGCACAGGCGGTGCACACAGCACTGCCTGCGGCCTGTGTAACAAAAGCGGGGTGAGAGGGGAACCATCCCCGCAGGCAGGGAGTGCTGGGGTGGCTGAGTTCCCTCACAGGGATTTGGACGGGTTGGTGGGACACGAGTGGAGCAGAGCGGTCGTGGGCAGCAGCGGCGCTCCTCACCCCGCTCCCAAAGCAGCACAGAGCGAGCTGTCCCTGCACTGACAGCAGCGAGGTGGGAGGGAAGCGGCTCCGTAGCGCTGCTCCGGGCGGTGTGGGCGCACCTCTGCCCACGGCCACGCTGTGTGCTGTGCAGAGATCTGCAATATGGGGGGGCTTAGGGAGTGGGGGCCTCTGCAGCCCCTGACTACAGCTTTCTCCTGCAGGGCAGTGGTGCTACGACTCACAAGACCCGAAGTGCGGTGAGTGGGGATGGTCACAGTTCTGTTTGGTGCTTCCCTGCCCAGTGCCTGAAGGCACTATGGAAGCACACATATAATAGCTTGTAAGAGGTTAATTAAGGATCAGGGAGCATGTAATCAGCAGTTACAGCCCAATTGCTTTATAGCCCTCAGGTGTGTGCTCACTGTGCTGCAGGTCAGCCGTGTCCGGCAGCGCTCCAAGCATTGCTGCCCGGCGCAGACCCGGCTCCAGCAGCAATTAAACCATGCTGGGGCTGGCGGGGGGCGGTTGGGACAGCACAGAACAGGCACGTGCTGAGGGCACCATCCCTTAATGAGGGCAGTGGGTAATAGGGAGCTCATGGGGTGGGCTGCAGCTCCACAGGTGCCCAAGGAAAACCTTCCTGAAGTAGTGGAGAGAGAAGGCATGGAGATGGGGCAGGGCCTATGGTGGAGACAGGGCTGCCCTTGGCTTTGTGTCCCCCTTGAGGGTGGTGGTGATGGCACTGCAGGTGCAACCATGGCTGTGCTCCCTGCAGGCCCCAGCCACTGGAAAGAGCTGCAGGCCACCTGCGGCGGTGACAAGCAGTCTCCAGTTAACATTGACCGGCGCTGGCTGCAGCGGGACGGCAGCCTTGGGGACATCATCTTCGAGGGCTATGACCAGGCGCCCCCCGGCAAGTGGCGGCTGCTGAACGATGGGCACACGGGTGGGTGTTCAGCTCCAGCCAGGGCTCAGCTCCACAGCGGTGCTGCCCCACGGCACCCAGCCCTGTCCCTCTCCTATCATCTGCAGTGATGCTGAGCCTGGAGAGCGAGCCGGGTGCTGAGCACATTGCCATCAGTGGGGGGGGCCTCCCGGGCCGGTACCGTGCACTGCAGCTGCACTTCCACTGGGGCAGCCCATCTAGGAATGGCTCTGAGCACACTGTGGATGGGCATCAGCTCCCCATGGAGGTAGGCAAAAAGCCCGTTAGCACCACAGCTGTTTGATTTCCCATCCTGGTGCCTGGCTGCTGGAAAGACTGGGTGTCCATGCTGAACTCTCCATATTTTCTCCAGCTGCACATCGTCCACATGAACGTCAAGTACCGCACCTTGGGGGAGGCCAAGGGGCACCCAAGCGGGCTGGCTGTGCTGGGCTGCTTCTTCCAGGTTGGCTGCAACTGCACTGGATGGATGCTGCCATGCATTGGTCTTAGCTGAGCACAACTGCAGGGCACACTCACTCTTTGCAGGTCTCAGAAGCCGCGAACTCCAACTACAACACTATCATTGGGGGACTGAGGAACATCTCCCATGCTGGTGAGGTGCCCTGGGGCTCTGTGCTGGGGCACGGCTGGGAGGGGAGAGACCCTGGGGCACGCTGAGGGTGGTGGGGCTGAGTGCCCACGTCCTGCTGTGCAGGGCAGGCAGTGGACCTGGCCTCCACCTTCCGCCTTGACACGCTGCTGCCGCACGTCGCACAGCTCTCCCGGTACTACCGCTACCAGGGCTCCCTGACCACCCCTGACTGCAGCGAGGCCGTCATCTGGACCGTGTTTGAGGAGCCTTTGGGCATCAGCAGGGAGCAGGTAATGGGATTACCTGCCGTGGGATGAAAGGGCCCATCTGGCCAAAGCCGTGCTGTGAGCATCCCCAGTCCCTGTGCATTTTCGTGCGCCTTGCAGACAAAGTAAAGGGGGACATCTGCAGAAATGTGGGGATGGAGAGCTTGAGAGGGGCACCGAGAGGAAACTGGGTGGGTTGCTGGATGGCAGGGGGGCTGGGGAGGGGACTGGTGAGGATGGATGAAGTCGTTCTGCCTTTCCCGGGTATCTCAGTAGATGCATTTCCTGGCCACTCTGTAAATGCTCCGCTGGGCTTCCTGCACCATCAGCTGCGAGGCGGCACAAAGCGCAGTGCATGCAGAGCCGCGTACTGGCCGTTAGGGGGAAAGACGGGGCTCCTGCGCTGCGCTCTGCTCGGCAGCATCTGCGTGTGCGCCTCGCTTCACCCCGTGAAGAGCCCGCAGTGCCCGCGGCGCTGCTCCCACCCGCTCCTCTCCCCCCGCAGCTGCAGGCGTTTGTCAGCACCGTTCACTTCCCGGCCTCGGGCGCTGCGCCCCTGAAGATGACCAACAACTTCCGTCCTCCACAACCTCTCCACAGCCGCAAGATCTTCTCCTCCCGGGATGCCACGGCCAGCTGTGGGTGTCCCCGCTGTCCCCTCGCCCCGCTGCTCCTGCTGCCCCTGCTCGGCCCCTTCTTGTCTTCCCTTTAGGGCCCGGGTTCCCTGTTGCCTCTTCTTTGCAGCGGTGAGGAAACTTCTGGTTTATGGGTGATGGGGAAAAAATGGTAAAAAGCAGCTGGGGGCCATCAGCCGGGTGAGGATGCGGCAGCTCTGGCGTGGGCTCGGTCATGGGGCTGTCGGGGCTGCAATAAAGGTGAGCTCCTGGCCCCGTGTGCGGCCCCTGGCTCCGTGTCTCTGTGCAGTGCCGGTGCAGGGACACGGGCGGTGTGTGGCCATGGGGGAGCTGGGTGCTCCAGGAGGGGATGGGACGGCACTGGGTGACACATAGCGTGAACCCCAGCGAGACAAATCCCGGCCCAGCACGTGTCCTTGTGCTCAGCATACACACACGGCCACGTTGCCTTCCCCATCTCTGGCTTTGGGGACGTGGCACATCTCAGCCCTGCGCGGTGCAGCCTGGGGCCCTTTCCCAGGAGCTGATTTAGGCTGCAGCTATGTCTGCCCCAGGTCCAGGCACTCCAGCCCCCTAAGTTATAGAATAAGGGCACGGGTCACAGTGGGACTGAGCAATGCCCTGGTGTGAGGCAACTTAGGTGTGCAGGTGATCCAGACAGTGTCTGGCAATGGTTCCCATGCACCCACTGCAGACTGGAGCAGGGGCCCAGCCCTCCACGTGCTGCTCCACAGGGGGCTGGGGGGACCCAGCTGTCACCCCTGCGTGGCTCTGCTTGGTTGTGGCTGCCGAGCTCCAGCCGCCTCCAGTTGGGAGCTACGGCCGTGTTCGGGGGTTGTGGGTACTGACCTGCCCCAAGGGCTCCATAAGCACAGGGCCCAGCTGTGTGCCCATGCTGTGCTGCAGGTTGGAGTTCAGCTGGGGCAGGGTGAGCTGAGATACAAGGGGCCATGCTCGTCCTTGTGGAGCTGTGGTCACTGCTGGGCTTCTTGCCTTGGGCACTGCTGGGGATGGGGCACCTACAGCTTCTCTGGGCAGCCTGTGCCAGGGCCTCACCACCCTCTGAGTGAAGAATTTCTTCTTTACATCTAACTTAAACCCACCACCTTTCAGTTTAAAAATGTCATTGTTTCTTAGCACTATGTTTTGCAGCATTTGAGGTATTTCGCAGAGTCACGGAACTGCTGGGGTTGAAAGAGACATCCAGAGATCCTCCAGTCCAACCCCCCCCCTGCTGAATCGGGTTCCCTGCAGTAGGTTACACAGCAAAGTGTCCTGGCAGGATCTGAATGTCTCCAGAGGAGACTCCACCACCTCTCTGGGCAGCTTCTTCCAGTGCTCGGCCAGCCTCAAAGCGAAGCAGTTTTTCCTCATGTTCAGACGGAACTTCTTATGTTCCAGCTTGTGCTTGCTGCCCCTTGTCCCATCAATGAGCAATGCTGAAAAGAGCCTGGCCCTGTCCACTTGGCTCCTGCCCTTTGGTCTTCTCCAGGCTGAACAGTCCCAGGTCCCTCAGCCTTTCCTCATACGGGGGATGCTCCAGGACCCTCATCATCTTTGCAGCCCTCTATTGGGCTCTCTCCAGCAGTTCCCTGGTCTGTCTTGAACTGAGGAGCCCAAAACTGGGCATGGTGCTCCAAATGTGGCCTCACTTCTCTCACACTGCTGCCCACTCTCATTGCAGTGCTCCCCAGGATACCACTGGCCTTCTTGTCCACAGGGGCACACCACTGTCAGCAGACACCCAGGTCCTTCTCTTAGAGCCCGTTTGCAGCAGCTCAGCCCCTAACCTGAGCTGATGCATGCTGTTATTCCTTACCAGGTGTAGGATCCTACACTTGCTTTTGTTGAACCTCATTGGGTTACTCTCTGTCCAGCTCTCCACTCTGTCCATATCCTGTTGAATGGCAGCACAGCCTTCTGGTGCGTCAGCCCTTCATCTAGGTCACTGTTGAAGATGTTGAACAAGACTGGAGCCATGCTGAACATGACAGGAGCCATTTCAGGTGTTTCTGTGAATTGCTGCAGTGCAAATGCTCTGGTGCCCTGCAGTGAGATGGGACCAAAGCCTGCTCTGGAAGGTGGGCAGTGGCTATTTCCTCCCCACCGTTTCTCCAAGCCCCAACTACCAACACTGGTGAGCTTCCTGGAAGCTTCTTCTCTGAGCCATTACCAAAATGGGGCCCAAATCAGCGTTTCCTGCTCCTGGCTCTGCTTGCTGCTGTGCCGGGCAGTGGCACTCATGGTGCCACGTGCTGGAATGTTTGTGCTGAGGAAGCAGAGCGTGCCGTGGCCACGGCTCTCTATTCCTGTCCTCCAGCTGCTGTTTGGCCGAAGTGGCCGCATGTTTTCGGCCCGGCTACAATTTTTAGCAAGAGAAACTGCTGCCCCTGGGCCCTGTGGCTGCGGTCAGCACATCTGGGAGATTGCAGGCCCAGCTGCGGGGCTGGCTGCACGTGGCAGCACCCACGCACCCACACCGCCCCTCCAAACACACCAAAAACATGGCAGAAACGCTTAAACCTTGCGTTCAGCCCATGCAAAGGCTGCAGAAGGATAGGAAGGCCATCTGCAAGCCCATGGATGGGGTTTGCTCAGCGCAGGGCAGCTGCTGGCTGCATCCTCCTGCCTCCTCCGTGCATGCTGTGGTTGCCCCAGGGCTCAAACCCCTCCCCAAAAAGCTCAGTCAGACACCCCAGGCCAGCCCATGTCACCAGCCCTGTGCCATCCCCTGCCCAGCCCCTGCGCCCTGTCTGCTCCCAAGCCACAAGCCCTGAGGTGGGGGCTTAAACAGAGCTGAAGCTCAGCTCACATTGTTTACATTGCTTTGTGGCCCACCTGCATCGGGAAACATGGCTTCTAACAGGCAACATCAAGCAGAAAACAAGTGTTTGCTTCCCTTCCAAAGCAGGTGTGTCGCTCTGTTGGGAGTTTTATTTTGTAAACCTGCTAAAATTGAGATGATAAATATTTTTCCGCAGCACAAAGGTGTTTATTTCAGCCTGTTTACAACCTGTTGACAAGCTCAGGGTCTCAGTTTGGAGCTGTTTACCCCTCACAGGCTGTGTACATTTCCAGATAACACCATCCCAGCTGTGCAACAGGCGGCTGCTGTTTTGCCACAGCCATGCAAATGTTCTCCTCTTTGCAAGCAGGCTGTTTCGGTCAGGTGGTGCTGGCAGCTGAGCCCGCCTAAAACATTTATTGATTTAATTTAATTTCTCTTTAATTGCGGCGTTGATGGCTCTGCGATTCCTACAGCTGAGGCTCTGCTGCAGGGGAATACCCAAAACTCCGTTTCATCTCCAAGATTCAGGGAAACCTGCTCCATATTTTGGGCATCTCCAGCCTGCCGTGGACAGTGGAAACAGGCAGGAATCCTGAGGATTAACTCAGGATTTGGGGTGACGCGTGATGGGAGTGGGCAGGGGTGGCACATAGGGGCAAAAGACACAGATGGAGCAGTGTGGACCCAGCCCCACGTGTGTGGGTCTGCCTGGAGGGCACCCATCACCTGACGGTTTGGGGTTGTGTGTGTGTAACTGTGTGTACGTGTGTGTAAGTGTGTGTAACTGTGTGTACGTGTGTGTACATGTGTGTAAGTGTGTGTACGTGTGCACCTCGTGCCGTATGCCCGGGCTGTAGGCACCCACCCAAGCAGTGCCAAGCTCTGTCTGGCAAAGCCCCAACCTGAGGCATGTGGCATGGCGGCCATTTTGCGCGGCACTCGCTCTGCTTTCCACGTCAGTGCTTTCTGGAGACTGTTTCATTTCCTTTTTTTGGCCAGCGTGGGCCCCCCAGCTTCAGTTTCTGATTGGAGACTGAGGAGTAAATTTAGCTCGGGGATGCCCCGGCCTCACAGCTGCACGGTGGGGCTGAGCGTGCTGCACCTCGGCAGAGCTGTGCCTTCCTGGAAGGGCTGGGTGGCCCTGGGCCTGGTGCTTGCCTTCACCCCAGGCCCTGCCTGCTCCCAGGGCTATTATGAGCCCCCAGCTCTTGCTTTCGGGTTTCAGCCAGCTGCCCACAGTAACCCAGCTCTTTGTGTGGCCCCAGCTGTGCTGATGGAGCTGCACCACGCACCCTGCTCTGCTGCTGCCACGTCGCCAGGCGAGCTGAGCCCCATGTGCTGGTGGGATGTTGGGGCTCAACGGCTGCAAGACTGGGAGTGATGTGTGGGGAACAAAGCTCATCCCCTCTGGTCTGGGGCATGAATGTGGAAGGGACCCAGCCTGACTGTATTCTGGTAGTGGGGGTGCGCAGCCCCCTGTGCGATCGGGGCCCATGCTAGCACTGCCTGCCTCCATCTGCAGCTAATTAAAGCCTTCCTGAAGCATCTCATTTACTAAATTAGGTCTCTCTTGGTTTTAAATTAATGGCAAGCCAGAAAAGAGAAGAAAAAAAAAGGTGACTGTTTAAAATTTCACCAAAGGACACGACAGAGCGAGAGCTGCAGCTGGGTGCAGAGCCCCAGGTTTGCTTTCTATCTGTGTTTCTGCTCATTAGCAAAGCCCAGCACTGTCCAGAGGGCTCGTCCTGGGCTCAGCTGTGTCCCCACTGCCAGACCCGGCTGTCCCAGCCCTGAGGTCCCACTGAGTGCCACTGTGGGTGCCATGCAGCCCTGCTGTGAGGGCCAGGGCCATGGTGCTGTGATGAATAATTCAGCACGCGCTCCTCAGTGTGTTGTTGCTTCTGGAAATGGTTTAGCAAAATCTTTTAATCAATAATTAGTGAGGTTGTCCTCATGAGTGCGAGGCGCGAAGGCAGAGCTTGGCTTGCAGTCTGCAGCTTTCAAAGTGGAGCCCATGAGAAATCTCTGCCCAGCGCCTGGTTCCCCGTGCTTTGGTGATTTTATCCAGCATGAGCAGCTGCCTCAGGGCACAATTTGGTAAATCCATCACTAAGAACTAAGCTTTCAGCTTCCTGAGTGTGGAAAAAGCCCCAAAGTCACCATTTCTGTGCCAATCTCAGGGCTCATGTCAATCCAGCATGACAGTCTGAAGGGCTCAGCTTGGCAGGCATGGGCAGAGGGCAGTGATTTGGGCACAGGGGCATGAGGACAGCACAGCCCTGTGTGGCA